ATCGGAAATATGAAAAATTCATATCTATTGTATGGACGCACGCGCGTCCCATCATTCATTTCGAATCTTGTGTCATTGCCGAATGGCACACGAAACTTTAGCCATTACGAGGAGTAATCGACCAAAATCGATCTTTCTTCCGACTTGTAAGCCTACTTTGATTATTGACTTATAATTCGATATTTTTGTCACATCGTCGTTACTATAAATATCTTCGTTTATGCCAATGTTATGTAAATCGCCCATGAACTAATATTGGCTGCAAATACGTTTAGTATTTGATCTCTATTTTCAACTTGAATCACAAATTACATAATTCGATCTCTATGTTTGACTTGAATCAAAAATTACAGAATTTATCTTATGACACTGAAAACATTTGACTAATTTTAGTCATGTATAGTACATGTATATCTAGGAGTTCTTATTAGATTATATCTGACTTTTTATTAAATTTTTGCTGCACATATTCAAAACATGATACATTTATTCATGTTTATTACTGGACAAATTACATTTTAATAACGCTTGCTTTCTCCACATATGTAGTTTTTTTAACTACATATATGAGGTTATAATATTCTTCATGTAATTTGAAGAATATTAATATTTATTATTTGAGATCAACTTAATATTAAATCTACATTGACGTAGAAATATGTACTTGATAAAAATGGCAATATTAATATAACAGAATACGAATAAAACGATAGATATGACAAAAATAATTAATTAGCAAAATTCACGCATGATTTCTATATGTACTGTAATTAGACTCGATATTATCTTCAAATAAGAACCATCTGAATATTTTACCATATTTTACAAAAATTAAATGTATAAGTGATTTGTTATATATGATTAGTAAATAGTAATTTATTTTTATAAATTAAATCGCGTTGCGATTTATCATCGCGCATATTCGTTATTACATGTTTGGAGGTATGAATTTTTGCGTGATAATTTAGGTGGTTTAAAAGAAACTTTTGATATCTCGATATTTATAGAAAATATTTATTATCGTATTTTTTCGAATTCATATGTTACAGAAAATGGTAATTGTGGAATAATCATATTTGCATTTTACGGTAAATGTTATCTAACAAAGATATTTAGCCATTTTAATTATTCTGTTGTTTATTTAAGTTAATAGAGAAAGAGAATTTCGAGCTATATTATTTTTGAACAATATATCGAGCTGTCATCCGCCTTAGTTTCTCCCGAGGGCCGTGTTTTGCCCGGCTAAAATGCGAAATGTCGCGTACACTTGCAAGATTCAAGGAAAATACATTTCATCGGCAGGACGAAAGGTACACGCGACGCGGAACGATTTGGAGCGTGAAAAGTGTAACACGGAAAAACACTCGCGCCGGGCTCACGAAGATTGGAAAATCTCGTTGGGAGTCCGTAGGCGAAATTTCTTCCCGTCGCTGATTTTTCCCTTTACACGTTCTGGCTCGGTACCCTTTAACCATATTGACTGCCGCGGGACGATATTTTATTGTGTTTACCAGACACGCGTAATCGCACCGAACAACAAATCAGATATACAACAATATGTTCGATATTTGTCTTAGCTTATTGTTGGTATATTAATCCCCCCTCTCCACACACACCACACACATCCGAACGAATTTACTGTAGAAAGATCTATATGCTTCGCGATATGAGCATTCCATCACGTTAATAGAGAAGACATATTACGGGAAAAGGTAAGCTTTGTCGTGCAATTAAATGTAATATACGCGATTCGTTTTCGGGTATTTAAATTATATATAACCGAATGCAGCTGGCATTTATGAATATAACACATCGTGTACGCCGTCTTATTTGCGATTATCAAGCCCCGACGCTGCCAGTTGAATATTTGACAACCTCGGCTGAAGCGTAGCTTCGTTTGGCGTATCGATTTTTCTTGATTGCACGGTCCCGACCGTTCGATTTGCGATATAATAAAATTTAACGGGACGGATGAAGAGCATTGAGAGAAGGGGGAAGGGAGAAGAGAGGATGTATCGAGGACAATACATACATCGGTATATACGTAGTAACGTGTACAGAACAGATTTTATCGTATGGCAAGGGAAATGTGACCGCGGATTTAGAATCCAGAACAGAACGACCGAACCTCGCGGGTCAACGAGCGGACTAATTTCACTCTTGATCCCGCGCATTAGTTCTGCTATCGACATCCGCCCCGCTGGCCTGAGAGCGTTAATTCTCGAGCGTGGGGGGGGGGGGGACATCGAAGAAATATCTCGATCGACGGGAGTCGCGACTTATACATCCGGAATTTCTAGAACCAGAGCGACATTCACTTTCATGATTTTCCTTAATCGCTAACTATGTCGTTTATCTCGACAAGATTAAAGCGCAATACGTTATCGCCACCTCACTTTCTATAGTTCCATTTATAGCTGATTTATTACGATTCAATTAATGGCGATTGTTTTTTGTATCAATGTCAATTTGAGAGAAAGCGTCTTCGCGTTTTATTGGTATTTATTAAGGATAAAATCCTGCCTTTTGATGTTCGTGCCTTAGATTAGTTACGTTGACATGTATAATTCTATTTTAACGGACGACGGCTTTAATTGAAGAACCTTGTCTTCTATATTTCTCATTTTCGAAAATAATACAGCAAATTCTGCATTATTTTCTTATTTGAGAGTTCTTAAATAGAATACCTTTATTTAAAAAAATGCAAATTTCCGAATGATAGCGGGTATATATGTGTCTTATTTGCTGAATCTGGATCAATCTCTCGCGACCGTCATCGGTGCGCTGAGAATATGTTCCCGATATCTATTCATAGCGCACAGACCTGACATAGGGCTGAATTCTTTTCCTCGGGCAGACGAAGCCGGCCCATTTTTTCGTTATATCTTTTGGAACGAGCTTTCGTGTCGCAGCAAGGATTCTTGATCGAATGGAAGAGGGTCGCGGTCTCGACGCCCTCAGAGTTATTTGTCTCATTTCGTAATTTGTTGAGTAAGACGAATCACTTGGATTTGCCATGAGAGACACCGTTGCGAGTTAAGGGTCTACCTTGCTGCCCGAAAAAGAAAGCGATCTTTGGGAATTTTTTCAGGAAATATGATCAAGATTACATATTTTATTGTTTTTACACCTTATTTGTTGTACTTTTTTCTTTAATTTGTAATTTTTTGAAGTCAATTTGTTGAATGTAAGTCTATGAAAAGTTCCGGTGAAGAAGCCTTTCCGACTTGAACATGATGCCATGGTGGAAGTACTGCAAGTCGCACTAGTTATCTAAAACAGTTAAATGAACGAGTTTCCTGTTCAAAAAGAATCTCTATCGAATAGACTACGATAATTGAGTTTTCATGAAAATTAACAAAATGGCGACCATTTGAAAAAAAAAAGTTCGATTTTTGGCCTTAAATTTTGCTCTTATTTTTGCGATAAAAAAAGTATTATTGATATCAATATAATATCATAGTCTATTCTATAGAGACATCTATAGAGACATTCTTTTTGAACAGAAAAATCGTTGGTTTAAGATGACTGATGCGACCTACAGTACTTCCCACATGGCGCCATGTTCAAGTCGGAAAAGCTTCTTCACCGGAACTTTGCATATACAGTCAACAAATTAACTTTAAAACATTATAAATTAAAGAGAAAAGTACAAATAAAATGTAAAAACAAGTGTGATCTTGATCACATTTCTTTCTTTCTCGAGCTACAAGGAATGGACCCTTAATCTCGCCGCACAACTACGAGAGACGTATCTCAACTTCTTTTTTTTTTCCGCCACGTGCAGGAAAACGTCGGATCCGTCTATCGGCGCGCGTAGACGTCGGTGATCCTCGCTTTTTGCATATAGGAAAGGTCGGTGACGTATCGGCGATTTACCTTAGAGACGTGGATTTATACCGCGCACTCTAAAATGCATTTTGCGAGCGACAGCACTTGGATGAGATTACCGATGACTTCCGATACGAATATGTTATCGAGCTTACCGAAATCTAATGCTGATTCGAGCTTTTGACGTACTCGCGATCGTAAAGTGATTAGCTTTCTTACGTGCACGTAAGATCATTCGACGATCTTACGTTAAGATATATACGTACAGGATAATTCGTTCAGAAGTACGTGTACTGTGTACGCAAGTACAGCGAGTATAGCATTAAAATTTCTGGTGTGTCGAGTCTATCAGACATGCCTTCCTTTTACGGCTGCAACGCCCGTTTCCATGTCAGAATTGTTCGTGAAAAATGATGGATCGTTCGCACACATATAACACGGGGTTGCGCAATGAATTCAAAATTATGCGTTTTATCGTTTCGTGCCGTTACTCTGTTTTTTCGTCACGTGGGCTATTCTTCATGTAACGTGATAAGAGTGACATAACTCATCCCACTGCTTAAGAACTGTATTTGCATTTTATATTAAGTAAAGCACGAATTTTTTTTTATTCCCGATACGAGAACACTATTACACTCAATCTGTCAATCAAGTATAAATGGAAATTAGGGTAAAAGCCTTAGAAATTTTACGTCGATTACAGGGACTAAAATCTCTGATGAATCTGAAAAAATGTTTAAGTTGACGTATTATATACATATTATATATGCATTTTTTAATTCTCGCTTTATTCCGTAAAATCTAGACTTCGCCAGTCACCTTTTTACATAGTACAGTCATTTAGTTGAACGTGTTAACAAGCGAACATCTGGGTTGGTACAATCCGCAATTATGGTTGCCTCTCGCGCGCAGCGATCGCCGCATGTCTCGTCCGACATCTCGTAGCCGCTTCCACCGTGCAGAGTTTTTTTTTCCTTTCTTCCTCCAGCCGGAGGGAAAGAGAAAGGGAGAGAGAGAGAGAGAGAGAGAGAGAGAGAGCGGCGCACGGGGTAAGTCGTACAAGAGGTGGTGGATGCTGAGAGAGGGTTGGCGGGGGCGGTTTCGGCCGGGGGCGCGCGCCGTGGAGAACGCGTCGCTCGCTCTTGGGGGCGTGCGGGCGAGTCAGTGCGCGGCGAGGCGCGCCAGCTGCCGCACGTCATGATTCTACCCCAGGTGAGCGACGATGTACCCAGACACTACCACTACCATCCCGTCGTTAACAGGACGACCGCCGAGAATCGTGAATATAACACTCAAATGATAGTCCCTGTGCATGATGAGTGTGCCGGCGATCTTTTTAGTTCTTCATTTTTTCGTTTTCAGCACGAAGCAGCATGAGTAAATCTTTTTCTTTCACCCTCCCCATATCCCCCGTGATACCTGCGCGGATATCTCACCTTGTACGCGTACCTGCACTACGTGAAGAGGTCTGATTTTAAGAAAAATGGAGGGACGAGAAGTAGGAAAATGCTCCCGAGTGCGAGTATCACGCAGTGATGTGCGAGCGACCGGCGGCAGTTAAATTTCACGTGTTTTCGTGCCGTGACGCGACGGTATATGTTCGAGTTATTTCCAAGGGCGGAAGTGAATGAAGATAACGGAGATCCCTCTTCGCCGAGTTGAGGAAAAAAGAAACGGCGGTGTCATTAAGAGACGACACCGAGATTTGTGCCCGAGGAAAAATAATTTTCTCATGTGCTACCTGCAGCTGCTTCGTGGTTTCGCCGTACCTGAGAGTGCGACGGATATCGCTGCGTCTCGAATTTCGTGAGAGCCGCAAATTGCAACCGCAAATTACACTGCCGTTTTTAACATCGTGAAATTTGATGCCGGGCCTGGCCGAGAAAATCGATTCGTTCGCCGGCGAAATAGTTCGCGGGTAAAAATAACCCGTAAGATAACGCCGACGATGGAAATTTTAATTTACGAGGCATGAAGGTGTAATCGTACGAGAATCATAACCGAGCCGATGTGTAGAGGGTGATAAAGCTCAATTTTATCAGCTCGGTGAGTCTCGTGAAACGCAACGTGAAAAAAAAATGCATTACCTTCGCGGGATATGACGATAGACAAACGGACAAAAAATTGATCTGCCGTCAGCGAAATGATTCGTTGTTGAAAATATCGTGAATAATAAACAGCAGAATGAAATTTTTTATTTGAGAGAAAACGAGTTATATTAAAGTCAGAATTGAATTTGGTTCAGATTTTGTTCCGTTCAGTTTTTGCAAACTTCCCGAATATTTTTCGTGAGTTTCAAAATCTCTTTTCCGAGACGCATGATACGCAGAAACTTTATAAAGAACTTTACGAATCGGAGTTACTGCGGGAGCGGCTTTACTATCGCCGCAACAGGTCCCCGTATATTTTGGTCGTTATCGTCACGATAATGGTAATTTCCCTATCGCGCTCTCCGGTAGATTGATTATCAATGATTGACCGAAGGAAATGTAGGCCGAGCTTACAGAAAAGGGAGAAAACGTCTTTTAGTCTCGAGAAAGTCCTCGTTATGCTTAATTTATCGCTTATCTGCATATTGTGATATGTATTATAGTTTGCATGTTCTTATCGTAATTACTGATGCAAGATACATAAAATTGCCGAAATCTTTAACATGAATTTAGGGATACTTATATACGAGAAGACTAGAAAAGGAAACTTGCAATTTCTTTAAATTTTTCGCATATAATTATTTTATAATATGTCTTCGCGAGCATATTATTTTATAATATGTTTTAAACATCTTTATATTTTATAAACGTACACGTTTAGAAAAATTTATTTAATGACAATAATTTATATTTTAGCACCAAATACTGCATAAATTAGTTAGTTCGTTTCTTTAGTTAGTTTAGGGGATTTCATATAATATATTTTAAAAAATTCTTCCGAAAAAACTGCTATATTTTTCCAATATTTTAAATACTTTTCAAAATATTAAGAACACAATACTTTCCGTTGGATAATTTTTACATATAAATCTAAAGATGTTTTTATATTGGCCGTAAAGTGCTGTAGAAATGACAATATTTGATTTAAAGCTTTCTAAAAATCTAAAAGCTTTCAGGCGCATAGCAATACAATATGATTCTAAAACAGTAACTTTTTGACTCTAATACAGAAACTTTCTGATATCGATATGTAGCATTGTCAAAATCGGTATTTAACACCTAAACTCTTTGCAGTTCTTAGTGTCGATCCACAATAAGACTTTTAAGCCTTACACCGTAAGATATTGATCGATTACAATTATTCTCCTCATATTCGACTATGATTCGACTATTTCTTACTGCTTAAAATCCTTATTGTGGACCGACACTTATTGAAACTAGATTCGACATAATGCTTTGCGATAATTTCACATGATTCTCTAAGTCTAGTCTCGTAGGACTCGTAGAACTCGTAGATACTTATGCATAAGTTTACTTCTTTTTTTATGAAAGACGATGAATACAAAAATCGCGTAGTTGCGGAATGGTAGAAATCCAATTTCGCGGAAAGATGGTTGAAAGAGAGTTCTTCGTCACGGAGGTACGCCGCGTCGGTCGCCGAGTTCCGCGGAATTCGTAAAAATTACTTTCCACCGGAGTGAAGTTTAAGAAGAGCCTTTAAACAGCGCCGAGTCTGGTACTCGCCCGGAATCTCTAATCGCTCGAATGAGAGAGAGATAGGCAGAGGGAGAGAGAGAGAGAGACGGTTTGGACACGATCGCGACTTGAAATCGACGCGATTAATCCGCTGAAAGACCAAACTTTCGGAAGAGCGGCGATATAAGTGCGACGAGTGGCTGATTGAATGTCGCCGCACGTGCCGGTTGGTTCGTGCTCTCGAGGGTGGAATTAAATGTTTTAGACTCCTATAACTGGAAACACAATTACGAACATTTTTCAATTTCCCGCTGAAAACTTTATTCATTATAGATCCGTGTTTATTAATTCGTAAGTCACTTCGGTGAAACGGATTCGGCATCCTAAGTACCCGGCCAGTTTGCGATTCGTAATTTTCGAAAAGACGTTCGAATCGTAAAGAGGAAAAAGTGCACCCGCCGTTTCTCGGTGGTGGAAATTATTCTGTAATGTCAGTCCATCAAGGGCAATTACAGAAATGTCTTTGAAATGCTTCCTACGTCGCGACATTTTCTCTAAACGCGCCGTTAAGCGCAGAATATCTTGCGTGCGTTTAATGTCCTCGCGTGCAAAGAAGTACGAAGCTCATTTCGATTGCGGAAATTATCTGCGTGATGCAGATACAAAGTATTATGGTGAATGTCTTACGTGACACAATTAATTAATAATAAATAAAAATTATTAACTGTTTATATTGAATGTCGCTCAAACAATGGCTAAAGATTGTAAAATATATATGTATATATATATATACCGAACTGGACTCTTTGATGTCGCGGTAAACAAATTAATATGTTCCGTTCGTATCCAACACAAAATGCTCATTAAAACTTCCGCGCGGCATCATAGAAGCAAAGTGTTTTTGTTTGTACTCGGTGGACCGCAAAACATCGTAACGTCATGTATTACGTTTGCAATGCATATTTCGCAGGGTATTTTGTTACTCAGAAAACACAAGTTTGAAAATGGGACTTGCAGCCACTAAATACACATCGCAGAACGAGAAATTCGTAAGAAAATAATAGAAATTTGTGATGTGCGCGTGGAAAATTTGAAGGTAAAGTTTATTATTTACAAAATGATCCACTCGACATGTGTGAGAAGAAGTAGGAGATAAACTCGAAATGTATAAAGAGCCGCGAGAGACCGCGATCTTATAATTTATATTGTTAATACTACTGACATTTTTATGCAAATATACGGTCTTATTAAAAAGCGCTAAGCGTGCTAATTAAAAAGTACTTAGCGTGATCGTTCTACTCGTCCCGAGTGTTACCTTTGCGAACGAGTGTCCTAAGTGTGTGGCTTTTCTTCTGTGGGATTAAAGTACATTAAAAACTTTTCCAACCAACGCAGCTGGGTTCGCGTATACCGGGTATTGTCAACGTCTTCGTTGCATGAAACGAGGAAGGAATTTTCTTTTCGCAATGCAATCAAAAGTGGATAGTTTCATATATTGTTACAGTTGCTCAAGTGCCGTATAGCCGCGGAGAAAAGTCGCACGGCTACGGCGTCCTCTCGTCGAGGTCGAAGGGGAGAAGGTTTAACGTCGTGATATGGCGCGGAAGCGAAGTTTAATCTCTGTTACGGGAAACGTTTCCGTACAGTTCGCGATCGCCGAGTTTCGGATTTTCCACCGAGGAACTTCGCGGAGACGCGTCGCGAAACCGGACGTCCGCGAAATTCTCCTTTTGACGGGGTGGAATTCGCCCGAACTCCACCTGATATCCATCCGCCGCGCCGGCATGCCGGAGATTGTCCCGGCCGAATTTTAATCGGGCGACTTTTCCTGTCCCCTGAGGAGGAGATGCCGCAAGTTCTCGACAAGTCTTAACTCGTCGATCGTTTCGCGAAAGTAGATGCAGTAAACGTGTATTCCCACGAGAAGATGACGGCCACGTCTTTCAAGCTCTCATTTTACTACGAAAGTTTCTCGTATTGCGAGCGAAATGACGAGAGATACGGTTAGAATGAAATTTCCAAGGAAAGTTTGTGAAAAGCTCCGTCTCTGTTGTTTTAAACGGAGCAAACTGGTCATTGAACTGTAATAAATACTACCGATCGATAATGGCTTTTCATATAAGAATTAATTTAAAAAAAGTAAACGACGAATGTCACACGTTCAATTATAAGAGTTACTGGAAGAACATCATTGAATAATATATAACATTAAAAATAAGTTTACTTGTTCAAAATAGCAATACTTTAATATGATTTAAAAAAGAAAATCTATCTTAAGCAATTAGTGTGATATGAATTATGTAATTTTATGTGTAAGATATGTAAGATATAAGTTCAGAATTTTATATTGCAAATATGTAGAAATAATTTCTTTATATTTATTTATGTCTTAGCTGATGTACATATCTCTCTCGTATTCATAGCGGAAATTTAATCGGAATCGATATTGCGCTATTTTGAATATCTTTCCATATTCAAAATTTTCTTTTAGACTTTTTACTATATGATCAAACATTGGCCAGTACAGCTCAAGAAGCAGTATACGCTTGCGAAGATTAGAATTCGTTTCAAGTTAAAGCAACCATAGAAATGACATTCGAGTTTGAATTCGAATGGAACTAACGAGGTATGCGCCCTTAGGGAGATATCGAAA